GAAGGAGAGATGTTCCTGAGCACAGGAGCCAGCAAGAACGGCCCTCAGGGAGCCTGGCAGAAGGAAACTCAAAGACCCTGCCCAGGGTACAACAGCCCCCAGACAGAGGTTCCAACGGCCCCCGGCCCCTGCTGGGAAGGATTCCCCTTGAATGAGAACAGGATCCTGAAGTCTCCAAGGGACAGAGCCTGAGGATTCAAGGCCTTTGACCACATAGTCTCTGCAGTCTCAGAGGCGTCCCACATGTGCCTGCCCAGTGCCCTGCCTGGCTGTCCCTCTCAGCTGTAGGAAGCCACGACACTGCAGTGAGCAGAATCCAAGGAAGAAAATAAAGAGAACTAAGGAGGGAACCATGTATTCTTAGAATATTGGAGAAGGGAGCAAGGCGCTCCATGGCACGCCGCCTAGAGAGTTGTGGGCCCCTGAGAAAACCCTGTGCTGGTGGCTCCATAAAATCTAGGAAAAGAAACCTCAGAACAGACGCGTCTCCTTCGTCTGCAGCCTCCTCTCCCCTGGTATGGCGCATCCTCTCACCTTGTCTCCCTTCTCACTAGAGCCAGCTTTTAGGGAAGGAGCTGATGAAATGATGAAAACATTGCCATCAGCTGTAAATGACCAGCCAGGTCTCTGCGAAGGACCTCCCAGAGGGCTTTGCCTGTTTGTAGGAGGCAAAGTCTGCTTCTGTTGCCTTGGAGCAAAAAATAAATAAAAATAAAAATAGACCCAGTCTAGGAAGAATTCGTCTTATGTAGAGGTTTCTCCTTAGTTCCTAAAATTTTACCATCTGGGTAAGGAACATTGTCTCGGGAGACTTTTAGGGGGTTTACCACTGGATAGGGGGAAGGGCGGCTGCCTCCTCGTGTCCCTGTTCTGAAACCAAGTCCCGTGAATGCTGGGCAGTGGCCCGTACAGAGAGCCGAGTGGATACACCCCCCTCGTGTTCACATGCAGAGGTCATCTTCAATGCCATTAAATGATCGAGCACCCTGCATATGTCAGGGGTTCTGCTAGGCCTTGGGAAAGTGAGCTACTGAGTGAGCTATGGTCTGTACCCTGAAGGAGCTCACCGTGTGGTGACAGAAACACAGACCCAGACAAGGAACTTATAAGGACACCTGACAAGTGTGCCAGCAGCCAACATGTGTTAGACACCTGTTACAGTGTGTGTGGCTTTGGGCCCTGAAGATGGAGATAGTAATCCACATGCACCCAGCCACCGTCACCTCAGAGAGCGAAGGGAGCACAGCGGGTCTGATGCAGAGCTCGAGTCAGGGCTAGGAGGGATGTAAAGGAGAAGCCACTGGGGACTGGTACTGAGCGGGGTGGGGCTAGGGGAGCGCGGCAGGGAGGACCTAGGTTTGTACCTGAGAAGAACTTGCGTGCTACCAAACCTGGCAAAAAGCAGAAAAGCAGCAGGGCCCCAAGGTCAGAGTGAGGCAAGGCAGGGAGACTCCACCCTCAACACCATCCAGTTTGAGGAGGGCACCCCAGCCTGGCAGCACCGGAAGTTCAGTTCAGCATGTATCTCGCAGGGTGACTGAGAGGGGAGCGGCCCAGTTTGAATGTGCTGGGACTGGGCCCTGCTCTCAGAACTGCTCTCCATCTTCCATGGCTCACATTCTGAGGCCCATTCCTTGTTCAGGGTTGTATAGGCCAGGCCCACCCTTCATCTCCACTTTAGCCCTTCCACTTTGCAAAGAGTGGTTATGGTCAGTCACCACCTCTGCAGCCTAGGCCAGAGCCAGCTCCTGTAGGTCTGGGGTGCAGGCTGGCCAGCTCCCACCCTGGAGAGGCTGGATGGCCTTGGCCATGCTCCATATTCACTCGCTTTCTCCACCTCCTTAACCAAAGCCCAGGAACACTCCCAAGGACTCCCACAGCCATGGCCAGAAGATTGGAGAGCTGGGCTTGGAAGACTGTGTGCTTCTAAGGCCTGAAGTGTCAGCAAGTCACTGTCCTGCTTTTAAAATAGACAGCATGAAACCTCTTGAGCCAGGACCAAAGAGGCCCTCCCTCCCTGCGGGATGGGGCGAGCCCGTGCCATGGGCCTTCTGCAGAGTTCACACACCACCCAGTCCCCAGGCTCATCTGCACCCCCAGCCCATTCAGAAATGAGGCGCCACAGAACCTGACACCCTGGTCTCCCTCCCTCTTCCTCCCCATCAGGCACCCAGCTGGAGAAGCTGATGGAGAATATGCGAAATGATATCTCCAGCCACCCTCCTGTCGAGGGCTCCTACGCCCCACGCCGGGGAGAATTCTGCATTGCCAAATTTGTAGACGGAGAATGGTAAGCCACTGGGATCCAGAGCAGCAGGACAGCAGCAGGTCTGTCCTCGTGACACTGGCCTACAGCTAGACTTCAGGCATTAGCCTCTGTGGTCTGGTTTTCACTGAGATGTTGCTGACCTTGGCCAGCTCTCCAGGGTGGCCCTTTTCATTGCCCATAGCCCATCTTGGGCCTGTGCTTTAGCCTGTGATTTTCCTGCAGTCCAGCCAGCCTCTGGAGTACAGAAGTAGTGTCCCTCCATCTCTCTCCTGGGATGCTCTTGGGGGAGCCCTGGCTGGCTGGGGCTCTCCGACACACCCCTCACCCTGCACAGGGAAAAATGATGTCTCAGTAAACCCAGACCAGCCGCCCAACCCTCCACCCCAACTGTCTGGGACATGAGCAGCCTCACAGGCTGCAAGAAGGTCACTTACGTCTGATATACCAAGGGTAGGGCCCATGGCCTTCCCAGGGTGACGAAGTGACTTGGATGTGTTCCCTGCTGCGGCCTCCCAGACAGATCTGCCGGCTAATTACAGCTGCTGTTCAGTGTGCCGGGTTTAAACAGCAGACATCAATCTAGTCGTTAGTCTTGTTGCTTTATGCCCCAAGGACACATTAATCTGCTCCACATGCTGCCCCTCCCCCTCCCCCTGCTCCCAGCTCTGCTCTGATTCCATTAGATGGTGACCACAGTGCCCCAAGGCCGAGACTTGGTGGAGTCGAGAACTGACTGCCCTCTGTGACACCCATGGGTGTGCTCCGGGAGCCCTGGGCAGAGAAGTGCTGTGCTCTCTCCCCTGCCATCACTAAAGCTCCAGGGGGGCGACTCCCCAGGGCCGTCCCTTGAGCTCTGCGCATGATGCCGTTGCAGGTACCGGGCCCGAGTAGAGAAAGTCGAGTCTGCTGCCAAAGTGCACGTCTTCTACATTGACTACGGCAACGTGAGTGTGGGGGACCGTGAGGTGGACAGGGTGGCAAGGGGGGCCCCAGTGGCTGCCAGGGGCCGTTCGACACGGTCAGGGCCATCCGATCTCTCGAAGGTCCCTCCAACCTTTGGACGCCCTTCCTGACAGAACATGTGGGCATCACTACTGTTTGTACAACAGGCCATGACCCCTGAGTGGCCAACAAAAGTGGCATCTCTGGCCAGAGGCCCGTGAGCACCAATAGTTAGTTCTGTCCAGGCCCTAAAGATGAGTGCCCGGCCACACCCAGGGTTCCTCTTCAGCCTGGCTTCTCTGAAGAGTGGGCCCAGGAAGACCCTCTACAGCTCCTGGTCTCCATACCCATCGTGGTGTTTCTCCCCTCTGCTAATCAAGAGCCCATCCCAGAACCAAGGTTTTCTGGGAAAGGACAATTACAAGGTAGCAGAGTAGGAGAAAAACCCCTCAGGCTGGACCCTCGAGTCTGTTGACAGTCTGTTGACAGTTCCCGCAGTATTCCCTGGGGGCGTGGCAGCAGACAGGAGACTTGGTTCCACTGAGCTGCTCCCCTGAGCTGTGGCTGCGGCTGGCTGTGATCATCTACTTTCCTCAAAGACGAGAGGATCAGTCGGCAGAAAGTCAGTCCCTGGGAATACTCAAAGAGTCCCTGCCAGGCTGGGGCCTGCGCCAGACCATGGGCAAGCCAGGGGCTGCCAGGACCCTCACCTTGGTGTGCTCTCCTAGCCTGTGGAGCACCCCCTGGCCCGTGGGAAAGTGGTCAGGGAACCCCTAAAGGGAAGGCATTGGAAAGAAATGGAAACAGTGATGAGAGTTTGGTTATCAAATTGATTATTTTAGTGGGAGCCAAGGTAGAGAGGGTGAGTCACAGCTACCTGCCTGCTGCAGGGGCCAGCGTGCCATGTGCCTCCCAAGGTTTCGCTGACGGGACAAGCCTATGCGTGTGGCTCAGTGGAACCAAGTCGCAGGGGAGCAGGGAGCCCCTGAGTTAGAGTTCCCAGGGACCTGGCTACAGGGACTTATCCTCTGAGAGCAGGAGGGCATCGAGTGTGTGATGCTATTGCCTGGTGTGTCCTTTACAGAGAGAGATCCTGCCGTCCACCCGCCTGGGTACCCTGCCTCCTGCCTTCAGCACTCGTGTGCTGCCCGCTCAAGCCACGGAGTATGCCTTCGCCTTCATCCAGGTGCCCCAAGATGTGAGTCAGTGCATCTTCCCTCCTCTGAAGGGGACTGTCCAGTGACACTCAGCCACCCCTGCATCCCTCACAGGCTGACAGGAGAAGATGGAGACAGTGATGGGTGGTTTGTTAGTAACAGACTCAAGAGATGGGAGTGACCAAGGAAGTTCAGTGTCACAGAGGAGGTGGCATTAGAGCACTTGACCTAGTTCTTAAGAAATAGGTAGGCCTGGTGTACCAGGGTGCTTTTGAGCAAAAACTAGTCCACTACATTCAGGTCCCAGGGGCCTCACGGGCAGTGGCAGGAGATGAGAAGGGAAAAGTAAGTCAAGGTCTGGGGATCAAGGCCTTGTCTGCCCTGGCAAGCTTAGTCTTTGTGTTATAGCCGGAAGGGATTGTGTTAGGATTTTCAGCAGAAGCGTGACATGGTCAAAACTGTTTTTGAAAGTTACTTCCAGAACGGCTCCATAGTGTAGCTGTCAGCACGTCTGCTTTACACGCAGAAGGTCCTGGGTTCGCACCTCAGTGGAGCCATGGTCCAGGCCCCGGGGGCGCCAGGCCCCAGGCGCATGCCGCAAGCATGTGGAAGGAGACACCCCACCTTCAGAGATCCAGTTCTTAAGGGGAAACGGCAACATCCATAGGTCAGGGGTGGAAGTGGGGGGAGCGGAATTAAAGAGCGGGGACGGGAAGAAAGTTACTTCTGGTGGCATCATGGAAGAGTAGAGACTAGAAGGAATGGTTGGGGGACAATTGCAATTGAAGGTCCAGGCTAGAGACGACAGTGGCCTAGCCTGGGCCATGTGAGCGAGGTCTCAGAGCACCCTCAGAAGGGGTGGGAGCTGGGGAGAGGCGGAATCTAAGATGGTTTTTTATGCATGTGTATGTTGCTGTTGGCCAAGGTAAGAAGGACGAGAAGGCATAAACTAGGGGCTGTGGGAGCTCCATCCAAGGGCTGCATAGTTTGGAAAGCGAGATGAGGAAATCATGGATTTGAATGGCCGACGCCATGGAGTGTTCAAATGTGGAGTACGTGGATCATAGGGTGGGGAGGAGAGAGCGCTGGCCTTCCCACAGCCTGGGGAAGGAATGCGCCTCCAGAGGAGAGAACCCAGGCTCAGGATTGCAGACGCTGCCCACTTGCCAGGAGGGGAGAGCCGGTCTGCAGTGTCCAGCTCCCCAGGGAGGTCAGGGGCCCCTGTGGCTTCAGCAGCGAGCACCCTGGTGCTCAGAGCGAGAGCAGTCCGAACAGCATGGTTAGAGCTGCTCTCAGATGCAGGGTGCTGAGGAGCAAATGGTAGGATAGGAATCAGCACCATTCCTGCCTTTTTATGAAATTTACTGAGGAGCAGAAGAGAAACAACAGGAGACAACGTTGACAAACTAGTTCCGGGGGACGACAGCCTGTGGGGCTGGGGAGAGAACCTGAGATGACCGTGGAGGCAGAAACGAGGGCCGTGGGGGGCCGTGGGGGCCGCTGTGCTGGAGCGAGGCCCCGCAGACATAGTAGGGGTAGGGGCTGGACAGCAAGTGGAAGGTTACTTTGGGATGGAAAAAAGCCACTTTTCTTCAGGGACACAGGGCAGCTGGATGTGGGTACAGATGCAGGGGGTAGGAATGAGATGACGACATGCAGCTACGCTTGGAGGGGAGGGAAAGGACAAAGGGAGAGGGGGCACTTCATGCCCAGAGCCTGTGTCCTCCCTCACTGGGGTCTGAGCAGTGCGTAGGCTGCAGGCACCTCTGGGCAGACTTTCTTGGAGGTCTGTGAACAGGACCTGGGGTCCCCATGGTCATCCTTTGCTCACACGTAACCTCTCCCACTAACCTGGGTGTGTCCCTGCTCCAGGAGGATGCTCGGACAGACGCCGTGGACAGCGTGGTACGGGATATCCAGAACACTCAGTGCCTGCTCAACGTGGAACACCTGAGTGCCGGCTGTCCCCACGTCACCCTGCAGTTTGCTGACTCCAAGGGGGACGTGGGGCTGGGCTTGGTGAAGGAGGGACTGGTCATGGTGGAGGTGCGCAAGGAGAAGCAGTTCCAGAAAGTGGTATGTGATGTGGAGGCGGCCCCCCCTGTCTCCCATAGCTGCCATCACAGAGCGGGGCTGGGGACTGCATCAGGAGCCAGTGAGGGAACAGGGAACCCACCATCCTGCTGTTCCTTCTGGGGAAAGATAATGGGTTTCTGTTTGTTGGGGTTTCTTTTTTTAAAAAAGCTAATTACATCCCAAATTAATTGGCTGCAGGTTTGGCTAAGAATGCAGCTGCAAACTAGAGCGGAAAGTTTCCCTTTGCATGCACCCCCAGGTGACAGGCTAGAAAGCTTTACCAGCGGTGGCATGGACAGGGTCAAAGCCTGTCTGGCTTTCTGTCCCATTCTCATTTCCTTCTCTCTAACATACAACTTCCAAGTCCATAACCGGCTCCTAGCACGCAGTGCCGCCAGAGCCAGGAGGCAGCGCCGAGGCGGCTGAAGGGACTCCGCCACGGTACCCCTCCAGCCTGTTTGAAAAGCCCCAGGGCTCGGAGCAGGGCCTGAGTCCAGCCTCCACCGTTCCTGAGATGTCGGACCTTAGAGATCAGTCTTTTGAGGCCCGAGTCTCTCCTTCATGAGACGAGAGCCTTGCTGCTTCATAGGGTGGACCATGAGGATGGGGTGCTGATGCCTGGGACACCAGCTTGCACTGTTCAGGTGTCGATCATTAAGATTGGGTTCTGGAGACTAGCATCCCCTTCTGCTCAGCACCCCACTCATCCAAGTCCTCCCGGCTTCCCACCAAGCCACAGCTGAGGCCCCACGACACACCAGCCTCAAGGGACAGGCTGGTGGCAAGCTCACGCCCTCCTGTAGCACCACCTCCTAATGGCAGGAAGAGATTAGAGGGCGGCAGCAGCACCCAGCTGGTCCCAACGCTCCCCCTGAGAGGAGAGATGGGAGCGGCAGGGTTGAAGCCAGTGCCCCTGACTTTCCCTTCTCCCAGCCCCTCTTTGCCTTTGCTCTCCCCCATAAGGTGTCAGTGGTCTGTGGCTCCAAGGACTGCTTATGCAAGTTGATAATTCATTGGGAACAAGACCCCACTGTGAATTGCTCCCATGTCTCCTTGGGGACAGGAGAGACCTAATCTCCTAGTCCCTGGCGTGAAGACCCCCAGTTTCCTGAGATTATTCCTAGGAGTTAGCTTAAGTTTCCTTGTAGAACTAGAGATCTTAGTGTCCCTCATATGAAACTACCCATAATGTCTCTGGTGTCTAGAAAATTCTTTGGCCCACTCCCTAAGATAAACACTTAATGTGTTCATTGATTCATCTGTTCATTATTTCAGCAAACATTTATTGAGGGCATACATATCTCGGTGAACAAGAGACAACATTCCTGCCCAATGGAGCTTTCATTCAAGCATGAGGAGACGAGCAATAAAAATAAATACAATAAGTCAATGAAATTGAATGTTAGAGAAAATAGTAAAGGGAATCAGGTGTGCGAGGGGGGTGGTTGTAATTTTAAATGCAGTTATCAGAGGCCTCATTAAGATGATCCTTTTTGTCAAAGACTCGAAGGGGCAGGATAAGTAGCCAGGCGGACAGGAAGGGGAAGCGCATTTCAGGCAGACGGAGCAGCCGGCACAGCCAAGAAACAGCCAGGAGACCAACCTGACTATGCACTTCGCTTTTACTCTGAGGGAGCTAGGGACTCACTGAGCAGGGGAGGGATGTGGATGTGACCTGGGCATTCTGCAGGGTCACTCTGGTGGCCCGACTGTGAATACCCCCATCTTGACCAATCCCTCTCTCTCTCGCCCCTCCAGATCACAGAGTACCTGAACGCCCAGGAGTCGGCCAAGAGTGCCAGGGTGAGTTTTCACGTCAGGAGCCCCAGAAGGTGCTGCAAGAGGGGGTGTGGCCTTCGGGTTCCTGCAGGCCCCACCTCCCTGAGAGCCGTTTTCTGTTTTCTCACAGTTGAACCTGTGGCGCTATGGAGACTTCCGAGCCGATGACGCAGACGAGTTCGGCTACAGCCGCTAAGGAGAGAATCGGGTCCAGCCCCCACCCCGCACCGCTCACGCCAGCACCTCCTCCTCTGCCGGGACGGTGTTCCAGCTCCAGACCCCAAATCAGGGGTGTAGATTGGGTCCAGCTTTGCTTCGGTGTATAGAAATGTCTTGTAGGGCACCATCTGGACTGGGGTGGGGTGCAGGGAGCCTGAGGCTTTCAGGGGACGAGCCATTGTCTTCTGAGATGACGAGCATCGCTGTCCACAGACGCCCAACAGATTTTGTTTTTTTATTTGGATGGGGGTTTGTGTTTTTTTTTTTTTTTAATTGTCCTCAAATCAGGAAGAAACATGAAAGACTTTGTCCTAATGGAGGACATCATCCTGGTACCCGAGGCCAGCTGCCAGCTGGTACCCCACTTCTGTTCCAGACTGCCCTTCTTCCCAGCTCTCTGTCCAGCTGTTGATTACGTGATTTCTCTGATATGTCCATTCTCAAATGCCAGCGTGTCCACATCTGCCCCCTCACCAGTCCTCCCCTTTTCTGTATTTAAAGCTTTTAAGGCCCAATAAAATAGTACATGCTCTCTGCAGCCCGTACTGTTCGTGCTGGAGCCCAGAGCCTAGGATCTCGGCAGCCCCAGCCAAGAGACCTGGGCACTTGAATGACCCCCAGAGTCATCATCCACATGCACGGCCATCCCCCCAGGAACCTAGGCAGTCGGTGGGAGCAGGGCAGTTCTTCAGAGGTCTGAGCAGCTCCTAGGGCCTGGTGGGCATCACCTGACACCCTGGCCGCCAAACAGAAGGCTGCAGGTCTTCTCTTTTGACTCCTCAGTCTGGCCCCACTGCACACAGCTGCCCTCGAGGACCTTAGAGATTAAGAGCAGTTCAGCCAGGGGCCAGGAGGGACTCACTGAGCAAAGCAAGGTGATCTCCCTCTTCCTGCTGTAGCAGGAGGAATGGCCAACACCAGACAGGCTGGCACAGCACGGTTAAGATCGAGGGCCCCTAGTCGCTGCCCTGCTCCCTCGACAGGTGCTCCGAGAGGGGTCAGGGCCACTAGCCGAGGAGAGCCTATCTCTCCAGGTTATTAGCTCTTGCTGCATTTGACTTGACACAGTATCCCCCAGTCCTCAAGGTAGAGCTGGCCGTGGAGGTCAGCAACCCCAGGCCACTGCTACCCCCGAGGGACGAGAGACACGGGAGGGCGGCCACTGCGGTGTGCAGTGAAGAGGCTGTCGTGCTACTCAGGGAGTGCCAGGGAGAGCAAGTGGGTGTATCTGATGGGGATGTCACCACTCTGGCATCCACAGTGTCCAGGGAGTCTGTTCTCCCAAACCCCCTCGGCCCCATCTGTGTGGCCCTGCGCTTCCCAGGCACGTTCTCCGGTGAAACGTGGTGCCACGTCTTCCTGGCAGCCCCACTTGCCACCCCACATTCTGATCGGGAGTGATGCTCCAAGCTGCCGTGCAAGACCGGTCTTTTGGTCTTGGAGAAAGTCAGTGGAGGTGGTAGGCCTGGCCGGCCAGCTCTCGTTCCCAAACCAGAGGGCCTGGGGCCCAGAAAATTCTGGCTCTTGGCAATTCTGCCCCACATCCACCTGTTACGGCCCAGGATTCGCATGGGGTTCTCCCCAGGGCTCTTGTCTTTCGGGTGGAAATGAACGCTTCCAGTACTCGCGCTGCACTCTAGTTAAAGGGAGAGGTGGGCAGGGGAAGAGACGCCAAGCCCGTCCAGCTGGAGCCCGCCATGCTCCTTCCTCTTGAAGACTCGCAGCTTCTGCCTGCATCCCCTCTGGGCGGGTCAGAACAAGTGCTGATGCTCCATGAATCAGCCCCTTTATGGTCTATAAACTGTTTCCCATGACTACGTCCAGCTCCTTATGGGGCCCAAGAAGTCAGCAGGACTGTGGATGATGAATCGGTGTGAATCTCTCCATCTATGCCCACTCCTGAGAAGCCGTCCTGCCCCCAGCAGGCAAGCCCGCTGTCACCATGGACTCGCGCTTTGTTTCTATCCATCGTGGAGCATGGTCATGGAGAGGAGAATACATGTCGCACCCATTTCTCTACCTCCTGGCAGGGCCACGAGGCAGGTCAGTATGTATTCACTTGAGCACAATTGGCAGGGGGATAAGATGCCAGCCCACTCTTGTGAAAGAGTCTGAAATCATCTCACTGTCTTAACAGTTGCCTTGGTTACAACTGCACCCAAGGATAAACCCTCTGGTTCTCCAGTTGAAATGATGCCTGAACCTACCCACTTCTTTTCTCCTCCAAGGCTGGTTTAGGCAAAGGCCATGATATTCACCAGGCCAGAAGGCGCTGCTGCAGCTTGTCTGGTTTTGGCCCCAGCTCCGTGTTCCTCTCTCTGCCACATCTGTTGAGTTCCTGGCGTCCGTCCTGGTTCCTGGGGTCTGTCCTGGGCAGGGCTGGGACTAGGTCGAGGCAAGCCAGGCACCCCGGGTGCAGAATTGAAGGGGTCACGCAGCGTGTACAGGTGCTCTGGCATATTTTCTTTTCATCCAGTTGAAGCCAGTCAGCATCAGCACTTGAACAAGTAGCACCAAAACACCTCTCCAAAGGCCCTTCTGCGGGACTTAAAAAATATGCTCCTTGGTGTCGGGTCATAGACTCCGCTTCCCCATCCACCGTTCCAGTTGAGCAGCCAAGTCTCTTAAGCACCTATTATCCATCCATCCACCAAACACGGATTAAGACAGCCAGCCACTGGCACAGCGTTGGGTTCAGTAAGTGCCAAGGTCATGTCCTTAGACTCTCGAGGGGCAGGCAGCCTAGATGTGGAGGGAGCAGCAGATGATGAAATACACATAACAAGCCATAGTTGTGGGCAGTGCACCTAGACAAGGGCCTGAGGCCCTGGCTGGGTGGCTGAGAGGGTGTCACAGGAGGAAGACTGAGGTGTGGCTAACAGATGGCAGGGAAGTAGCTCTGGGCAGGTTCTGGAAGTTTCTGTCTCTGAGAGCTGATGCAGCAGAGCCTAGGGTTTAGGCTAGCCACCAGGGAAGTACTGATGCCCAAGACCCCACCCCAGTGACTCTCCTCTCCCTCCTCCCTCCCAGCGTGCGGGACCAGCAGGGAGGGCGGGCAGCAGAGGACAGGGCTGGCGCAGCGGCCTCCGCTTTATTTATTGGTTTGATTATCTTCACGTCCTGGAGAGGTAGTCAGTGGACCCCTTTCCTGGTATTAGCCCATGTGGGGAAGCAACAGGGAGGGGCTGGAGAACTGGTGCCTCAAGAGTGGTTATTGATGTCCTAATTACAAGAGGATGCTAATTTAATTTGAACCTAATTACAGTGCACTACCCTGGGTGGCATGTGTTTTAATAATTAACGTCCTTCAGATGCGTAGGAGTGTAATAATATTTACACTGGGTTGGCCAGCAGCCTGGGGGAGGCGGGCTGGGGGCCCATACAGCACCCTCCCCCCGGACAGCTTGGCTGCTAGCAGGTGGGGAAGATGGCACTCGAGTCTTGGTCGGCTAGTATCTCTTCCTTCCCAGGGAGCATGCTTGGGCCTCATTTGCAGGCTGGAACTCCAAAATACACCTCGATGGGCAGATCAGTCTCTGGGTATCAGCCCTCCTCCCCTACCCCACCCCGTGCCGCAGAGACCGCAACCCGCTTTCTGGCTTCACCTACCTGCCTGGGCCCATCCTAGGGGAGGGCTTGTTTGTGTACGGGGCAGGAAGGAGAGCCGCGTGGTTTGTCTTCCTTCTCTTTTTATTGGAAATGCTTGTAAGGAAATACACATTTAGAAAAGTACACAAGTTATAAGGGTCCAGCTCAGGTTTTCACAAAATGAGCACACCCGTGCACACAGGTCGAAGAAATAGAACATCACCAGCCCCTCATAAGCTCCCTCCTCAGTCAGCATCACCCCCAAAGGTAGCCCCCCCCCTTGACCTTTATCCCAGCAGAAGAGAGAAGAGTTCTGCCTGTTTTGTTGCCTTCTTCAGCGATTTGCTTTTTTTTTTTTTTTTTTTTCCCCCGTTGTTCCTGGTTTTAAGTTTTACATAAGTGAGTGGTGCAGTATGCGGTCTTTTGTGCCTGCCTCCCTCACTCCACATATCTATCTATCGGTGAGGTTCCTTCTCGTTAACATTAGTTTTAGCTTGTGCATTCTCATTTCTGTGTCTCCCATTGTTCTAACACTCCACTCCTTGGTAGTTATAAAGAAGTCAGATGCTCGGCAATCTGCTAGAGCCAGAGCTATGCCAGTCCCTAAAGGAGAAATCTGCTCATCCTAACTATGCAACTGGGGTACAGGAGGTGACGCTATGTGAGAAGGGGTAGCACGATGACAGGGCGGGGCAGTTCCACCCGCACAAACCCAGAACTGTGCGGTCGCCAGCATGGCTCCCGTGCCCAGCCATTCAGGGCCCCCAGAGATGGGAAGAGGGCCTGTCAGCAAGTTCTCGAAGCCAAGCAGAAGAACCAGGGGCTTAAGAGATGATCTGAGAGAACTTCGGAGTCTCTACCGAGAAGCATTACTAGGCTAGTGCTTCTGTAAGTGTGGCTGGCCGGCCAGCTACCTCAGAATCACCCGGGGTGCTTATTAAAATGCAGCTTCCAGAAATAGTGCAGGACTATGTTGGGAGTGGGCGTGGGGTGAGTGAGTTAAGCCCTCAGCTATCATAGCAGGAAGACAATGGGTAATGTCTGAAGCAGATAAAACAAGATCTGGGCTATTGTTGAGCAGTAAGATGGTAACCACCAGAAGATCTAAAACAGATGATTCAAGCGGTTGCCTGTAGGTAGCTCTGGGGGTGGGAAGTGCTGCTTATTATAATTCCCTGTGTACTATTCAAGGTTTTCACCATAGGCAAGCATTTTTAATCTTTTTTTTATTATTCATTATCAGTAAATATGCATGTTATGTGATCACTTTCCACTCCAGACCTACTACTACCTCAGTTCCTATGGACCAGCATTTGGGAAATTGTACTCTTAAGCTTCCTAGGTGATTCTGATGAGTTCCCAAGTTCAAGAATTAATTATCGCTGCCCAAACTCATTTTACATGATGAGGAAGGAGACAAAGTGACTTGCCCAAGGTCACCCAGCTTATTAATGGCAGGGCCAGAAATAGAAAACAGGTCCTCTGGCCCCAGGCCCGTGATTCTTCTCTAGGTCATGGCTTTCACCTTGGTAAGTGTCTATCTCAATGGACCTGAGGGGTAAAACTGGGGACCTGGCTCAGTTGCCGGAGGCCAGGGCGCCCTTGCCTGAGTGCAGGGGGATGACCCCTCCAGCAAGCAAAACACTTCTAAGCACAGCCCACTCCATGCAGAGCCATTTCAGGGACCTGCACGTGTAGAATGCCACTGCTACCGCTGCCTCGCCAGTGGCATCATCTTTGAATTGTTTGCTCTGAACGGGAATGGGTTCGCCCTGAGCCATCCAGAGCCCTCTGAACAGTCAGGCGTTTGGGATTCACTGAGCTCCTTCCTACTGTTCTAAGGACTGAGATAAGTTAGGAATAAGCCCTGGCCTTGTGGGGCTGAAAGTCTAATGAGAACAGCAGATACTGGTGATGATAGAAAAACCTAGTTAACTTTACCGAAATAGA